TGGAGCCTGCTTAAGATTCTCTCTCTCAAAAAAAAAAAAAAAAAAAGATTCTCTCTCTCCCTTTGCCCCTCCCCCCTGCCTCTCTTAAAAAAAAAAAGAAAGAGAAATGAGTCCATCAAAGCATTTGCTCTGTGATGCAGATAACCTACCAAAAACCAAAAATGCAGATTAAAGAAAGCTATCATTATCACTAATTAATGGGATGAGGTTTGTAGAATTTCACTAAAAGGAGGAAACTGTTCAATAATAAGTAAGAAAAGGGGCACCTGGGTGGCTCAGTCGGTTAAGCATCTGACTCTTGATTTAAGCTCAGGGCATGATCTCAAGGTCCTGCCATCTTGAGCCCCATGCAGGGCTCCGTGCTCAGCCAAGAGTCTGCTTGAGTTCTTTCTCTCCTGTCCCCCCACCCACCATGTATGCGCACATTCGCTGTCTCTCAGATAAATTTTTTTTTTTTAAGGAAAAATCGTCTTTTTTTTCAAATGAGGCAATTCTTTCTTCATGGGACAGTTAACGAATTATCAAGAGAGAAATCTTCCCAATTAATAGAATTGTCTTTGTAATAGAAAAATTGTCTTGGTTGAGGCAATTAACTTTGGATAACTTACTAAGTAGAACAGTAAATGAGGAAATAGGTTATTGCTTTTAGGTTTTTTTTGTTTTATATGCAACACAGAATTCTATCAGAAATTAAGTCATTAGGACCAATTTCTAGGTGTAGCCTATCATAATACCTGAAATAAATTTATTGCGACAAATTTTTGTATTTTGGGCATCTCAAAATTATGAATAACGTGAAATAAATCAATAACAGTTTCAGAAGAAATACTATGTTACATGTCCCAAACCTTATTGACATTACAGCATCCTCACATGTTTCACAAAGGAATGAAATTGTACTTCAAGGTTTGATGAACTTAAAAAATACAGTGCATTTGGTGCAGCCACTGTGGAAAACAGTATGGAGGTTCCTCAGAAATTAAAAATAGAAATATCATATGATCCATTAATTTCACTTCTGGGCATTTACCCAAAGAAAATGAAAATACTAATTCTAAAAGGTATATGCACCCTTAGGTTTATTGCAGCATTATTTACAATAGCCAAGATAGGGAAGCAGCCCAAGGTCCATTAATAGATGAATGGATAAAGAAGATGTGGTATGTGGTGTGCGCACACACACACACACACACACACACACAATGGAGTATTATTCAGCCGTAAAAAAGAATGAAATCTTACCATTTGCAACAACATGGATGGGCCTACAGGGTATTTTGCTGTGTAAAATAGGTCAGATAGGGAAAGACAAAATACCGTAGGATTTCAAGTACATGTGGAATCTAAAAAAGAAAAACAGAAATAGACTCAAAGTACAGAGAGCAAACTGGTCTCTCTAGTTACCAGAGAAAAGGGGAATAAGGCAAAATAGGTGATTAAGGAGATTAAGAGGTGCAAACTTCTAGTTATAAAGTAAATAACAGGGATGAAAAGTACAGATTAAGAAATATAGCAAATAATATGGTAATAACTTTGTATAGTGACACATGGTAACTGTACTTATCATGGTGAATATTTCGTGATGTATATAGTTATCAAATCACTATGTTATACCCCTGAAACTAATATAGTATTATATGTCAACTAATACCCACCTTAAAAAATACACAGTACGTTGTTAGGTTTTTGCTTGTAGATATTTTTCAGGGTATAATGTTTATTCCTCAAAAGAGAATGGGTAGAAACTCTTCTGTAGATATCTGTATCTGTCCTAATGAAGGTGAGAACTAGTCTACATTAAGCCTACTGTTTTGGTACTTTTTCTGTTTCTTCACTTGCTAGATTTTCTTCAGCCGGAACTTTTCAGTGAAATATTTGTTGAAATATTTGTTGTTATTCTTTTCGGATTATCTTTGAAACATTCATGGACTATAAAACTAATAGAACCAAGGACTGCTGCACCTCCAAAGTGACAATATTCCGTGTAATTGATAGAATTTTCTTTTCTTTTAGTTCAGCAATCAGCAAACATTGGGAGGCTGAACTGGCTACCCTCAAAGGAAATAATGCCAAACTCACTGCGGCCCTGTTGGAGTCCACTGCCAATGTGAAACAATGGAAACAGCAGCTTGCTGCATATCAGGAGGAAGCAGAACGTCTGCACAAGCGGGTAAGCTCAGAGCTCCTGCTCTCCGTGGGGATTGATGGCTAACAGATTTCCCTGACCTGCAGAAACATACATGTAGATTCAGCACAAGGACATCTGGAGATAGTCATTGCTTGTCAGAACATATGTATAGATGGTAGTAAATGTGGGTTTAGTTAAGAAAAATATTTTTCTATTCTGCCACTTATTAGCTGTGTGACCTTTGGTAAGTTATCCCTTTCTGCTCAGTATTCTCATGTATAAAATTGAAAATTGTAGAATTCCTGTGAAAATGAATAGAGAAAATGAATTGTCATGTAGTTGCACCGAGTTGATAGATGCTTTTATCATTTTTATTTTTTGAAGAAGGAACAACTTGAAAAATACAGGTAAGAAATTCTTTATAAAAGTTGCTTATGCAGGTTTCCCCCACTATCCAAAAGTAAAGCTGTGAAACCTTTCCTAAGCTGAAGTGGTATAAGGAGAAGAGTATCCCCTGCTTTCCAGAAGTTCACTTTGTTTTTACAAAAGACCTACATTAGTATCTGTTTTTGCTGACAAATCTGAGGACCATTTTTAGTTTTGCCACAAAAAGCTGTTACTGTACTAATACAGGTCTTTTGTAAAAGTGAAGTGGCATAATTCAAACTCTCAGAAAGTGGGAGACACCTGTATTTGTAATTTCATGCAGGAAAAGAAAATCAGAAATCCCAGTATGAAAAATATTAGAAGCCCAAACAATTACTTGTGAAGAATTTTTTTTGTATTCACAGCATTTGCATTTACCCAACAGGAAGTATATGCCACTAATTTCCTTTTTTGGGAAGGATGCCAAAGAAGTGAACTTCGTAGACAGTAGGAAATGGCCTTACTTCCAGAGCACAGTCTGAGGAATGTAGTAAGATCAGGCTGAGGTGGGAAGTAATATAGAGATGAAATAGAGACAGGGAGGGAGAGTAAGAAACCTGAGTAAATGTCATCCTGTTGTATGCGCAAAGGTTAACTTAGGAGGAGGAAGAAGGAAGTTGTTGTTTAATGACTATAGAATTTCCATTTTGTAAGATGAAAATGTTCTGGAGACCTTTTTCACAACAGTGTGAGAATACTTAACACTGCTGAATTGTACACTTAAAAATGGCTAAGATGATAAAATTTTTTTCTGTGTTCTTTACCACAATAAAATAAATTAATCCATGACAGTTAACTCATGAGCCAATAAATACTCACAGAAGAACTATCATATCCCCTTACTGTATAATCCCTGTCCTTAAGGAAATTTTGGTTTAAATTGTGAATTGAATTTTAAAGATCTAAGAAATGAAATCTTTCTATTTATTCACATGTTTATAATTTTTAATGCTCTTCTTTCCTTCTTGTAGATCTGAATTTCCATCAGGTATCCTTTCTGTGTAGCCTAACTTCCTTTGCAGTTGCAGCCAGAGGGATGTAGGGGGCAGCTTTTTGTCTTTACTATAGGTTGCGTTTTCCTATTTCTTCACCTGTCTAGTCATTTTCAGTTGTATGTTAGACATTTGAAATTAGGTGACATACAGCCCATAGTTTCTCTTATCTTACTCTGAATGATGTTGATTTTTGTTTGAGTAAGCAGTTAAACGTACTTACAGATTTCCTTGAAATTGTGGAGGTGTGGACTTAGGCTTCATTAGAGTCCATTTATTTTAATCTTGCCCTTAACCCTATGGTGAATTCCATAGTCCTGGGAAATGTTTATTTCTAAGGCATAATCCTGCTGGTGTTTCAGTGGAAAGCTTGAAGTAATAACCCACGTCCTCTAATTTGGTGGGACTGAAACGCCAAACTGTTCTCTCTGTGGTGAGCCCTACCACAGCTCAGCTCTTGCAGCCTTCCGGCTCCTTTCATTCCCCCCCCCCATGCTGGACTCCTTGGATCTTACCTGTGCATGTGTAGATGAAGGTTAGCCAAAGATTTGAAGGAAGTCTGTATGTTTCTTTGGGGGCTTTCTTCATACAGTTCCCTCAATTTCTAGCTGTTTCAGCTGTTTTAAGGGGTCCCCAGATCCTCAGGCTCCTCAGGGAAATAAGACCACAAGTTTCTGCTTAAGTTCTAGTCAAGCAATGCAGCCAGACTACAGAGTGCCTTCAAGCAAAAAGATGTGTATGTGTGTATTTTACCCAATGTGATTGCTTTCTTTCTGGCTTTTGCTCTATTTGGTCGCTTACCCGGGCATTCAGACAGTTGAATTTTACATTTTGGTCATGATTTGCAATTGTTATCTGTGGGAAAGTTTTTCCAGTAAAAAGTACTCCATCATTATCAGAACTGGAACTCCCTATAAGGAATTCATTATCTAATTGGACCAAAAAAAAAAAACCTCCTATATATTGAACAATAAGGAAATAATTCCCAAGATTTTGAATACATTTCATTTTGTGGACCACAGGACAGGAGAGCCTAGAGGAATCAAGTAGATAGGAATGACTTTCTGGTGAAAGTACATGCTGAGCTGAGAGCTGAAGGTTTGCTAAGGTCTGAACAGCCTCAGTGGTAAGAGTGGACATTCTAGTTAAGTCAGCAAGATGGTTTATTCAGTGAGAGTGGTTTATTTTTAGGGTGAAGAGACTTGCCTATTTTTAGTTGGAAAAACCACCTATCACACCACCTATCACATACTGTGAGTGTCTTGGGTGATGAAGATGGTTAAGTAGTTTAGGACTGGTGTATGCAAGACCTGCAGGTTTAGATTTGATACTGTAAAAAATGAGCCATTGAAAGGCTTTGAATGGAGGAATTATACAATGATAGATGAATGTTAGTTTATAGGAGAGGCAAAAACAGACAATTATGTCCTCTGGTGGGCCATTGCTGTTGTCTAGGCTTGGATGATAGGGTCTGCACAAGGCTATTAGTACATGAATAGAAAGGAAGAAAATGTTAAGAAACGTAGAGTAACATTTATGGAGGATAAGTAGATATTTGGAAAATGTGAAGGAGAAGGATTTGCTGTTTCCTTAATAGTCTAGAATTTACTGCATTCTAGTCAGCCAAAATGTATGAGATGCTAACGTGTGTAAATTGCTGTGATGAGGTGCGTGTGTATGTTTTTATGTTGTCTTCTGCCTATTTTGACTGTTGGATCCAACAATGTTGTTGGATGGTTTAACTTTTAGGGGCAGTGCCTTTCTTTATTCTCTCAGAAAATACCAAGTGCTCATTAAAAGTTCTGTAGCTCTTTGGGCCCTTAGTACATTCTTATTGACTAAAGAATATTATCTTTTGCTACAGAGACACTACTGATGTGAAGTCATTCTAGTATCGAATGATTGAAGTTGTATTTTAAGCATATCTTTTCTTCCAGATTCTCTTACATTTTGGAAATGTATTTGAAAAATTTCTCACTTCTGTAAGGCCAGTTTTCAGAAGCCATGTTTAATTTGAAAGCTACAGATGGAAGGCAGATGGCTAGATCTGATTTTGAATATGTTTTCATAAGAAATTTTTAAAGAAGCCTCTCATTATAGGGGTTCTCAACTGTCATTAACCAATTAAGCTTTCCTAACTTCTTCCATGACTAAGCCATATAAATAATTATTCCCCTAGTCTTTTTTTGTTGTCCTAAATTTGTGTCCTTAAAGAATCTATTCATTCTACCTTAAGTGTCTTAATATTTCTCAAAATTGATTTTCATATGTTGTTTAAAAGTCGTGATTTACCTATGAGGGGCTTATTATACTTTCAGCAAGAAATCTTTTGAGATAGTCATATAGCTTAACCTGTGTTCTCATTTCATTTTAGGTGACCGAGCTTGAATGTGTTAGTAGCCAGGCAAATGCAGTGCATACCCATAAGACAGAATTAAATCAAACAATACAAGAACTAGAAGAGACGCTGAAAGTGAAGGAAGAGGTATTTCCTACTTTTCACTCATCTATAATCTAGCTAACATGTGTACAAAATATTTGAGTCTCTTTCAGATTTACAGGTACTTTATGGAATAAAGTAAGGTTGTGGGGTGTTTTGGGGGCGAAGATGAAATTTTTTTGATTGATATGAAGCTTGTTCATACTTTCTCCATCCTTGTCTCTGCTGTTAGGAACTACAGTGAGGCAGGCAGACTGAGATACTGCCTCTTGCCTTCTGTATGAGAGTTGCATTCTTAAAATCAACAGAAAACTGTGAGAGGTTAAATGAATTTTATAAGCTGTTGCTTTTTCTGATTTCCAGTCATAAGATTTAATATCCCAGGAAAGAATTATATCCACAAAGCTTGAAGCAGCCTTAAAATGTTCTGATTGTTGTTTCCAAGCCGTGCTGTACCAAAGCCACCAAGCAGACTTGTTGCTTAAGATTATCATGGATTAGACAACCCACCCATAAAGACGAATTCACCCTTCTAAAAATCAGCATAAAGGAATGTTTTTTAAATTATTCTTTTCTAAGGACTAGGACAATAATTTCAGGGAGAAATAACACTTTCTCTTTGCTTGATTTAGTTTAAATATTGTTGCTAAAGACATTGCTCTGCTTTTTCTAGGAAATAGAAAGATTAAAACAAGAAATTGATAATGCCAGAGAACTACAAGAACAGAGGGACACCCTGACTCAGAAACTACAGGTGAGCTATAATAACATTTTGATTCATTTCTGCATAGAGAGAGGCATCAGTCATTCTTTCACATAGTAATGACTTCTTTTCTGAAACTTCATTTTGTAGGTTCTCAGTCATTTTTCCAGGACTTGTGATTCATGACTAATCTTTGATTTTTCAAAAATTAAGTGATAACCTCACCTAGGTAGCATGGGATCATCATAGATGGCCATTTATAAATTGCCTTCAGTAAATTATTTTAGAAATGTCTATTTTTTAACATAAAAAATACCCTGAATTTAAAGAGAATTTCTCACATGGATTTCATTCAGTCGAAGAGTTCTGCTCATTTTTTTTTTACGCTGAACTAATGAGTATGAATTGCAGAAGTAAGTTGTGCCCTAACGGAAATTAAGTTAGTGACATTTTTCTTTCTTTACTCTAATGAATTTTTCTCACTTCTTTTGCATAAAAAAATATGTTTCCTGACTCTAATTTACATACATACATCCTGTATTGGTGGTTAGGGAAGATTTTTAGAATTCATTATCAAAGTCTCCGCACCTCCGGCCCTTTTCTTACACCCCAGTGGTTAGCTGCCTCTATAAAGAAAGGTTAGGACCACTTCAGAGTTTGGAGTAGAAATAAATGTATGTACAGAGTGAGGAATTTTGGGTCAGGGGTGATAAGTGGAACCTGAAAGCCCAGGAATTAGGAGTACCTCAATTGTAATGAGAATGTCTTGCGTTAATTGAGTTCTTACTATGTGCCAGACACTGTGTTAAGCACTTTACTTATATTGTGCATTTACTTCTTATGACAGTCACCTGAGGAAACTGAGGCTTGTATAAGTTCACTTGTCCACTCTCCATTTATATAGGTAGTCAGAATTCTGTGACAGAAGAGAGGGCCTTCATAAAGGAAGTAGGTTCTTTATATGGCATGACACATTACCCTCTCCCATCATTGACTTGCAGCAGTCTGGTTTGTTTTGGTTAGCCCTATTAAATGTTGTTCCCACATTTTAATGATCTGTGTAAATTACTGGTTCTTGGGGGGAGGGGGCAGATTTGCACTGCAGAGAACGTGTAGCAATGTGCCGAGACAATTTTGATTTTCACAACTCAGGCAGTACTATTAACATCTAGTAGGTTGAAGTCAAGAATGCTGCTAAACATCCAGTTATCTGGACCAAATTGTCAATAGTGCTAAGGTTGAGAAAGCCTGGTGTAGAACTAAAGATGAAGTGTGTCCTCAGGGCTAGAAAAAGTGGGGGAAATTCAGTGGAGCTTTTGTCTTTTGTTCCTTTGGTTTGGGCTGCTATTTTCTAAGTCCTTGCTGTGATTCGGGCATTTGCCGAGCCTTTGCATACCTTTGCTTGAACTCATCCCTGTTTTCGAAGAGAAGGCAGCGGTTCAGAGGTGTTCACAAGTTGACGAGGCATTGAACTAGAAAGCAGTGAGGCCTCCATTTGTTTGGATTCCAAAGTCTCTGTTCTTTCTGTATGACTGCCCCCGGCTTCAGGCGGCCATGCTGCCAAGACATTCCTGACGGTTCCTTCACATGTTTTCCAAGTTACGTACACATCCCAGAGAAACTAAGAGGTGATTTTTCAAATCAAACTTCTTAAATGTATTTCATCATTAATTGAGCGATAATTGAATTTTAAAGCTGGCTCCTATTCTTACCTCTTCTTTCACCATATATCAAAAATGCTGATCAAAGCAACCTACTAGGAACATGATAGGGAAGCTTTCAGACCTTCCGATGGGCTGGCTCCTACTTGCAGCTTAGGTCTTGGCTCACGTGTTAATTTCTCCAACTTCTCAGTTTACGCACAACTCCGCAAGGTCCCCCCCACCCCACCCCAGGTAGTCTTTGTTTTTTTTTTTAAAGATTTTATTTATTTGACAGAGAGATAGACAGCACAAGTAGGCAGAGTGGCAGGCAGAGGGAGAGGGAGAAGCAGGCTTCCCGCTGAGCAGGGAGCCCGATGTGGGGCTCGATCCCAGGACCCTGGGATCGTGACCTGAGCTGAAGGCAGCCGCTTAGCCGACTGAGCCACCCAGGCGCCCCTACTCTTTGTAATATTACCTTGTTTTATTTTCCTAGTAGCAATTAATCACTATCTGAAGTGGTCTTATTTTTCAACTTTACTTTGAAATAATTTCAGACTTACAGAAAAGTTGCAAGAATAACACAAAGACTTTTTATATACCTTTCACTCACATTTCCCAAATGTTGCCATTTTTTGCTGTATTTGTTTGACCATTCTGGAACTGTCTCTCTCTCTCCGTGTGTGTGTGTGTGTGTGTGTTATTTTTTCCTGAAATCTTTGAGAATAAGTTGCAAGATACTGTATCTCTTTACCTCTGAACGCTTCGGTGTGTATTTTCTAAGAGTAAGGCATTGTTTTACATAACCATCAAAATCAAGAAATTATCTATCTACAGACCTTATTCAAATTCCCATAATTGTCTTAATAATATTCTTTATAACAAAGTTTAAAACTTGTTTTTCTGGTCCAAGATTTATTCTGTGCTCATGGGTTGCGTTTAGTTGTCATATGTATTTATTTTGATGTTTGAATTGTCCCAGATTTGGCCAGTGGGAACCCATTCAGTCCAGCTTCTGATTCCTTTTTGATGTGACCCTTTCATTCTTTAAAGAATGTCTTCATGTTTTAGGACAAGTACATATTCAAGGCTCATCTTGTATTTTTTCAGTCCTCAACCTTGGAATTAGCTATTTCTCCAAGGAGAAATTTCTTTCTTTTTTTTTAAGATTTTATTTATTAGAGAGAGAGCGAGAGCACAAGCAGGGGGGTCAGCAGGCAGAGGGAGAAGCAGGCTCCCCACTGAGCAGGGAGCCTGATGCTGGGCTTGAGCCCAGGACCCTGGGGTCATGACCTGAGCTGAAGGCAGACACTTAACTGACTGAGCCACCCAGGCGTCCCTCCACGGAGAAATTTCTTTAGGCAAAGATTGATATTTAGAAGCCAGGATCTGAGTACCAGGTAGCGTTTTTGCTATTGAGATAGCATTGTTTCTATGCCATCTTAATAAACAGAGCTGGAAGGACATAAATACCACATTATGTCTATTTCAATAGCCATGTATATATAAAACTGAATTCTTACTCATACCTCCCATTGCAGTGTAATACAATGGAGTTTATTATAGCCTTTCCCATACTCATATTTGTAATTCCTTTACCCAATACTAAGAAACCCGATTCTTATTATCTACAGTATATTTATTTACTTTCTCAATCTTAGCACAGAAAATAGTTTTTGAATTACTAATTCATACCACCACAAAAAAATGCAAACAAAACCTTACCAACTAGAGATCACTATAATTTTTTTTGTCCTCAGCCTATGTTCAAAAGTTTGTTGGGTTAGTTCTTCCCCTCCTCTGCAATTGGTTAGGTTATTCATTTGAAACATACTTATGTTTGGGGCACCTGGGTGGCTCAGTCAATTAAGTGTCTGCCTTCAGCTCAGGTCATGATCCCAGGGTCCTGGGATTGAACCCGGTGTCAGGCTCCCTGCTCAGCGGGAAGCCTGCTTCTCCCTCTCCCTCTGCCTGCCGCTCCCCCTGCTTGTGTTCTCTCTGTCAAATAAATAAATAAAATCTTAAAAAAAAAAAACCATACTTATCTGTTCATTTGTATCATATTATATTCCATTTTAGTATTTTCTTATCCATTCTTCTACATTTTATATATGCATGCATTTATTGAGTATACGAAACATTAGCATGGTTCTAAAAGTCAGAACTATTTGGAAAGATGTCTTTAGAGACATACCCTCCAGTCCCCACTACCCTAGCTTCTGCCCCATCCTTCCCACCCCATTCCCATCTGCCACCTGTGGGTAACCAATCTCATTAGTTTCTAGTTTATCTTTTCTGTATTTCTTTTCACACAAATGAACAGATCTATTTGTTTACCTTCTCCTCTTCTTTTTTAAATGGTAACGTACTCTAGATTACTCTTCTGCACTTTGTTTCTTTCACGTAAAATATATTCTGGAAGTCACTCTTGTCAGTTCATTGAGATCATGTTCATGCTTATTATAGCTGTAAACTCCTTCATTTGTGGAGTGATAGTTTATTCAGCCACTCCTTTATGTGGGTATTTAGGCTGTCTCCAGTGTTCTGCAACAATACTACAATTAGTAATATTGCGCATAGGTATTTTGTTATTGTTGGAGGTGTATCTTCAGAATAGATTTTTTGTTTGTTTGTTTGTTTGTTTTGTTTTTAGTAATCTCTGCACCCACCGTGGGGCTTGAACTGATGACCGCAAGATGCAGTCTCATACTCTTCCTCCTGAGCTAGGGAGATAGCATTGTTTCTATGCCATCTTAATAAACAGAGCTGGAAGGATATAAATACCACATTATGGCTATTTCAGTAGCCATGTATATATAAAACTGAATTCTTACTCATACCTCCCATTGCAGTGTAATACAATGGAGAATCTATCACCCCCGAGATAGATTCTTAGAAGGAAGATTTCTAAGTAAGAAAATAAACACATACGTAGTTGGGTTAAACATTGTCAAATTCCCCTTTGTAATGGATTGTGCTGGTTCCCACTCATACCACTACCATGAGTGCCTCTTTCTCCATGGCCTTGCCAACAAAATGTGTTGTCATACTTTTTAATTGTGTGATAGGTGAGAAATGATAGTTTTAATTTGCATATCTCATGTTATTAGTGACATGAATATCTTTCATAAGCTTAGAGGTCATGTCAGTATCTTTTTGTACATGGGCGGATTGGGTGTTCATGTCTTTTGCCCTTTTCCTATAGGATTTTTGGTTCTTTTTCAGGAGTTCTTTATATATTACAGGAGTTCTTTTTATATCTGATTACATGTTAAAAATATTTTCTCCCAGTTTTTTTTTGTTGTTGTTGTTTTTTTTTTACTTTGCCTGAGATGGTGTTTTATGTACCAGTCAGATTTATTACTCTTTTCTTTTCTTGGTTCTGGCTTGTGGATCGTATAGTCAGATAGC